ATATACTATATATATATATATTATAATACATATATATTATATATAATATATATATAATATATATATATATATATATATATATATTGTTTTTTCTATATCGGGGTTATATATATATGTATATAGCACACCAGAGTGCATGAGTGTCCAAATGAGGGACCGAGTTGGGAGCCTGCTAGAGCGGACCACGAAAGGAAGGCCCCCGGAGCCGAAGATTCGAAGGTCCACAGGCCCCTAGTATGGGGGGTTTAGGGTTTTAGGGTTTTAGGGTTGAGGGGTTTAGGGTTTTCGGGTTTTAGGGTTTAGAGTTTTAGGGTTTAGAGTTTTAGAGTTTTAGGGTTTAGGGTTTTAGGGGTAAAGTGGTGGGTGGTCGGTATCGGTTGTTGCAAGTCTTTCCCGGTAGAGTCGCTGCAGACCGGACGCAAAAGGGTTTTAGGGTTTAGGGTTTTAGGTTTGGGGGTTTAGGGCTTTAGGGTTTTAGGGTTTAGGGTTTTAGGGTTTTAGGGTTTAGGGCTTTAGGGTTTTGGGGTTTAGGGTTTAGGGTTGTAGGGTGCTGGCCGGCACCTCAGTCCGTGCTGAAAAGGGTTGTAGGGTTTTAGGGTTTGGGGTTTAGGGTTTAGGGCAGTTCCTTTTACGACGGAGATGGAAGCTGTGCATGACGCCCGCACAGACCCGCAACCCTAAACTCCTTTTAAACACCTGTAGCCTGTCGGTTTAAACCTATAAACTGACCGGAACAGCATGCAAGACCCCAATTTAGCATCTCTCTTTGTCTTGTGGAGCCTCTTCCGAGACATAAACAATGCCACCTGTGTCTGAAGTAGTATAGGGGCCTTGATAGTTAGGGTTTTTGAGGGGTGGTATATTATGCTGTGGTTTACCATCGCCTATAGTTCCGATCCCTACTGCAGTGGCCCAGCTAAGCTTTCAGCTCTTCCCCGCCTCCCATTTCCAGCCTAAGACCCTAAACCCTAAAACCCTAAAACAGCCGAGGATACCATCCTCATGCAACTGGCTACGGATGGCAGTGCATTCGTCGCGGGCCGCTCGAGCAGGCCCTTGCCGGTGCAGAGACTCGTGCTTTGTCCTTCCTTCCTGTAAATGGGGTTGAATCTTGGTTGAACCCAGAGTTGGTTTCATTTTTCTTCTTTTAATTTCTTTTTCTGGCAGTTGCCATGCAGGCACTTGCAACATCTAAGCCCTAAGCCTCGCTTGAATTATGCGGAGCCTTGCCAAGCATAACCGGCAGAACCAAGGTACGCTATAAACACCTGAATGTACCAGGTATTTCTGGGTCATTCCCTGCTTTAGTAATACATTGGTTGCTGCGGGTATGGCACAAGGTTTGATGGGGTCCCAGGGACCTGGGAGTGCGTTGCCCGTTCATCATTGATGTACTTGTGGACCTTTTGTTCCTTGGTTCCTGTCAGAATGTAACCAACAACCAGCATCCCTCCAACCAACCAACCATGATAGACCCTGCATCGTAGGTTCGTCCTAGCCAGGCGGGAGGGAAAATAACAACCAACCAACCAACTGACTAAGCAATCAGCTAACTAATACATCTTTTCTCTCGGTGGGCAACTGAACAGCCTAGACAAACAGCGACCAGCAGTCCCAGATGCGTCTCATGGCCTTTGTTTGTTTGCACCCGAGTCCGCCAAACCCTAACCCGAAAATCCTTAAGCCTATCCGGGCCTATCCTAAACCTGAAACGCCAAACCTGCAAAACAAAACCCTGAAACTGGAAACCTGCGAGGCTTACCAGGATGCTGCGCCTTTTCGGGCGCTCTGCACGAGCTGCGCGGCTCAACCGAATCTCGGCAGATTTTAGCCAAGTCTCCCCAGGAGAGATGAACACGCGAGCGCTCTCTCGACCCCTCTCTCTATGTGGGAGTTTCCGAAAATTAGGGGTATACCTTATTTTGGGGTCTTTATATTATAAGGGCCCAATTATTTAGGGTACTATATGAGGGTCCCCTACTTTCAGAAACCCCCATGTATGTATTTGCCACCTTACTCTGCATCGTCAGCTTCATCGTAGTGTTGGACCCGGGCCGGAACCTTAGCCAAAACTATGGGCATCTTATGGGTTTCAGGTACTTGGGTTGATTTGCGTCGGTTCAATCTGTGTGGCTAGTCCCAAGATTGGCTACTGGGCGCCAGGTCTTTCTCCCTCTCAGTTCCTCCCGCACATACATCAGAGACCCTCAGCAAAAAAAACGAAGATCTGCTTGTGGAAAAGCAAGCTTACTCAAGGCTTCGGCCGCATCGCGAGGATTGCCGCCGCTCGGCTCCACTTGCCCTGCCAATCCCATCTTGAAATGGTGCCATCTGTAAAACCCAAAGCCAAAACCCTACAGGTCAAAGACGGTGCTCTTTGATTAGGTCCCTTGAAGGAAAACGGGGCAAGTCAGGACAAAGAAATAAACTTTAAGGTAGACTTCGGGACGCCCCTTATGCCTCCTTAAATGCGCACAAAGACGGCCAAACACCCTTGCAACCTCAAACCCTTAAACCCTTCAGCGCTGATACCTGTGACCTTAAGGGAAAAGCAGGGCAACTTCCATCTTAAGAAGCTCTGGCAAGAGAAGCCCCTGCTGCCTCAAGCTGTGGACAGATTCATCCCGGTCAGGCTTTTATGCCCAAGATCCAGGAGCTTTCTCGTTTTTGGGGTCACAAGGTGGGCGATGGCTCGCGTTCGTAACCCTATCGGTCCATGTAGTGGATACTTTGGCCCCTAAATATCTGCATAGGGGCTACTTCAAGGCCAAAGTATATACCATTTGGGCACATGGACCCTTAGGGTAAGTTATCTGGCGTTTCAACGACAAAAAAACACGGGTTTCGGGAGTCGGACTTTCCGGCCCCATTGCAGCCCTGCACCGGGACGACTGAAGACCATAGATACTTCAAACAAGAGAGTATCACAAGTTGTAGTATGCAGAAAGCCCCAAACCTCGTGAAGGCCCGGCTTGAAGCTTCAACTCGCTCAAAGTGGGTACTACCCTTAAACATGAAGACTTAGGACTTAGGACTTAGGGGTTTATAGGCTTTCTTTAAGCACGAAATTTCTAAGAGCCCTGGGGCTTGGGGCCTTGTCACAGGTGGAGGAAGATGATGCCGCGCGCCTCGGCTTGCCACGGAGAGAGCGTGGGCTGGAGTCCTCCTAAGTGGGCCCTATAAACCCTATGAAACCCTATATGGCCCAAGCCCGAACCCCCTAAACCCCAAACCCCACAAACCCTAACCCCCTAATCCCGTACCCTGCCTAAAGTACTTTCAGAAGACTTTGGCTTTTCGCGCACGAGTTGAAGTGTCGGCTTCAAAGGTCTCCTGCAAGCTTCCCTCTTCCCGCACAACAATCGTGGGAGAGTTTCGTGTTCAGCTCTGTCTCTAAATGTTTCACCAAGCCAACTCAAGACGACATGCCTCGCCTAGATTGTGGTAGAGCGTGAGCACCAAAACCCCCTGAAAATCACAGGCTTTCTCTTCGGAGTGCTATGCCATGCTAGGTCTTGCCTCTCCTTCTGTCGCCGAGCAGAAGTTATGGGATCCCGTAAAATGGAGTCCCTTGTAGCGGATCTGTCATGGTTTGGCCTCCCCTACTACAGTAGAAGCCAAAAAGTTGGAAACCCAATAGCCTCAATCCTTAAGAGCAATGTATAGGGAATCCCAGCATGAATCCCGGTTTCCAACTTTTGGGGCCTACCTATAGTCTCCATTGTAGTTCCTTTTTGGGGATACCTTATAAAATCCTTGTTCTATATTTGGTTAAACCAAAAAAAAGGAACTACAATGGAGACTATAGGTACTATAGTCGACAGCTGCGAGGCTTCTTGCGTGCCTCCCGGCGAACGCCCGATGTTTTCTCCTCTGAGCCCCGAGCGCTTTCCCGGATTCCCTAAATCCTAAACCCTGAACCCTGAACCCTAAACCCTAAACTAAACCCTAAACCCTAAACCCGGCAGGCGAGTTCTGGAGAAGAAGCTCTACAGAGTCTTCTGCTTCCTTGATGAGGACATGGACAGTCCTGATCTCAGAGCCTGTGAGCGATGATCTAAGCAGCACCTTCCCACCAAGGTGGAAGGCGGAGAGGTCACAGAAACCCCACTCCTAGAGGTCCTAGACCCTTCTTTGCTGCATGCTATGTACACCCTTGACCTATCTTGGGGAATCGTAGAAGTCATGAGAGCCAGGGTGCAAAGAACTGACAGAGTCGACTTCAGGCAGAAAGCCCCCCCCATGCTTGATTCAGGCATATCTTGCAGCGAGTCTTGATGTCGGTTACTACGAGGTTCAGGGTTTAGACCCTAAGCCCCCAACTCCTAAGGTTCAGGTTTAGGGTTGCTTGCTGAATCTCTGTGAGGTTGGGTGGCAAAGTCTGCGCTGCACACCTGCAAAGACACACTGTTCCAGATGGCGCACCTTGAGAAGCACGCTTGCTGCAAGACTACGGTCTTTTGTAGACTTTTGCTAGGGTTGAGTGTTCAGGCCTTGGGAGCACAGTTGCTGGAAGATGGCCGTTGGTTAAGAGAGCGAGGTGGTTCGATGCCTGAAACTGATTCTAGATCCCCAAAGGGTCCAAGAACTACTCGTAGTCTAGTAGAAACTTCTGGGGCCCAAATACCTACTAAGTACCTACTATAATGGTACTTGGACCCTTTGGGATCTTGCCTCAAAGCCTCGAGTAAATAAGCCACAGCAGACCGGCCGACCAGGTTACGGTCAAGCATGTCAGCGAAGATTTGGGTTGTCATGCACTCTACACATGCACTCCAGGCTTGATACTTTGTAGGACCTTATATGACGAAAGTGTTGCTTCGCAGAGATACTTTCTGAAGTTTCTGGCAACATGGACTTGCTGACAGTTCCTCCGTTTTTCCCATCCACGCCGGTCCAGGAAGAAGAGCGAGTGGGGTTCCAAGCTTCGCATGCTTGCTGCCACTACCACTTTCACAACGAAGGTGGGCAGTTTCCTTGCGTCTCCATATTTTAGCCTCCAACTTCTGTTTCCCGGAAGGTCGAATGCAGAACCCCTGGCTTGGGTTTACAGGGTTTAAGAAATCAGCCCGACAGCGAACTCTAGGATTTGACATTGCAGGCCCAAAGCAAGCGGCAGTGGTTTTATTCTCGACGCCGAGGGGTTTCATGGTAAGTCCTTGTTGACATTGGCACCTTCTTCGTATTCCCGAACCCTGATTTCCTTACCTAGCATGAGAACTGTATCACTCTAAGACTAGAGCAGATGTCCCGAACCCCGAAACCTTTTGCAGTAACCTCCCAGGCCTACACGTGCAGGCCTGCTCAGATGCCTCCGACCGTATTCAACATTCTCGAAAGACCAGCGACCATACTATCAGGGTCTTTTGACAGGTTAAAAAAGGGGCGACTGCCTTGGAGAAGATACCTTATATTCTATGTATATATATATATATACACACATACACAGTTTACATACAAATATTCTACATCCCTGATCTTGGCCGACATGATGTCCACCTGTATGTCCACCTGTCTTCCATGTGGTCCCCGAACCCCAAAAGGCCCTCAAGCTTGCTCTTGAGACCCACCTAAATCCCCAAAGTGCAAAGCCATCAACCCCCAACCCTTAAACCCCCCAAAGCCCCTAAAGTCCCAGAAGCCCTTAAAGTTAGGGCTGCTGAAGCAGCAAAAACCCTAAAACAAAAACCTAACCATTCGAAGCTTCTTGGGAAGGCTCGCAAGGACGACCCGCATAGCTCTGCCAGCAACACCACCGGCTTGGATTCGCAGCGCCCTGCCACGATAACTTGTGCAACAAAATCGGGTCTAAGGCCCCAGGATTTAGGGTTTAGGGGTTTAGGGTCTAGGGTTTAGGGGTTGGGGGTTTCGGGGTTTAGGGTTTCAGCTTGGAGGCACTTCGGGAGACCTCGTTCAAAAAAGGGTTTAGGGTTTAGGGGTTTAGGGTTTAGGCTTTTAGGGGTTTCGGGTTCAGGGGTTTAGGGGTTTCGGGTTCAGGGGTTTAGGGGTTTCGGGTTCAGGGGTTTAGGGGTTTCGGGTTCAGGGTTTAGGGTTTAGGGTTTCGGGGAGTAGGGCCAGGTTTAGGGGCCCACTTCCCAGCTGATGGTCAGAGCCTGGGTTCAAAAGCGTCAGGTTTAGGGCCCATAACTGAAGGAATTTGGTATTTCGGGTCTGGGGCTGGTATTCGCGTTTTAGGCTACAGGAAGTTGTGTTTTTTTGGTGCAGGGTCTAACTAGCACTCAGGATGTAGGATTCGGTAAATGATTGAGAGTTTCTGCTCAAAAACAAGGGGTTGATAATGGTTCAGCTGGTGAGCAGTTCCGTATAAAGTCGTGGGCGCCTGATGTATTAAAGGGGAGCAGGATTGTCGTAGATGTACCGCCCCGGCAGTTTTTTCTTTCAGGCCCTTATAGCAACGATTCGCAAGATTATCTGATTATACCCTGCTGTGAGCGTGTTCGACGTTGTGGCTTGAGCTGATGGATTCTTGATATGGTGAGGTTTGTTTCGTTGCTGACACAGGGGTATTTGTGGGCCTTATGGCAGGGCTTGTCTATCGCCATGTTCAGACATTGCGGTTGCAGGCCACCCCAAATCTATGCTTGGAGGTGACAAACCATCCACAGTAACCGGCTGCAGTTCTACTGCCTCCAGGACACCTGCCGACTTGGCGAGCTCTTTCGCCTCAAGGCCACCATCGCCAAGGAGCTTGGCAAAGAAGGCGGGCATCCTGGCAATGCCCTGTGAGTTTTTCTGGGGTGTGGACGTGCGAAACAGCTTCCCGCGCTAATGAACAAAGCCATATTCAATTAGAAGACGCAGAATTAACAGCAGTAGCTGGCAGTAGCTGTGGCCGAAAGAGTAGCATAAATGGCAAGCACCCGCCGAGAAGGCACAACAAGACATACAACCAGAAGCGGTAGCGGCGGCAGTAGTAGCAGTAGTAGTGGTAGTAGAGCAGCAGCAGCACCACCACCACCAGCAGTGGTAGCAGCAGCAGTGGTGGCGGTGGTGGTGGTGGTGGTGGTGAAATGATTGTTGCAACAGTTGTGGCAGGTCATATGAGTATGTTCGGAAATGGTAAGAGACACAGAGACGCGTGTGTTGATACGGTCATAGGCAAAGCATCGTCGTGCTTTTACACATAGACAGCAAAGGATAGTAAGAAAAGAGCAGATCAGAACGAGTGAAGAGGCAACAGAAGATGTACAATAGAATAGACACCCTGGCCTCTCCTTGTTGCGCTCCGAAAAATGCTGCAATCGGCGGAAGTCTGGACCTCAACATCTCGATTCTGTTCGGTCGGCTCTGGGCTTCACATACAGGCATGCAGCCCTAGAGCTTCATCCTCGAGCTTCGAAGGCGTACCCGTCCCTTACAGTTGAGAAGTCTCACGTCAAACGATCAATATATATATATATATATGTATATATGTATGTATATATGTATATATATATATATATATATATATGAACTCTTTATCCCCGAACCGGGGAATCCCGAAGCACCAACCAGGATGGTGCTGTCATCGGCTCGCAGACGATGGCACGTTACTTGAATGCTTAAGCCACTCCAAGCACTGCACGTCTTCGCCTTTCTCAGATAACCAACATGCTCATCATCAGGCTCAACAACAGCATCGCCACCCACCACCACCACCACCACCACCACCGTCATCATCACCAGCATCATCACCACCACCCCCCATCATCATCACCATTGCCATCACCAGCATCACGACCATGCCCATCATCCTCATTATCAGCACCACCGCCACCATCATCATCATCATCATTACCATCATCATCATCATCATCATCAGTGTCTTCACCCTCGTTTGTCACAACCTGGGATCTCGTCATCGTCCTCTTGCTCCTTCGATCTCGAGTACAAGTGCAGTTGCAATTGCTGCGACTAGTTGGCACCGCTGCTGTTTCTGCTGCTGGTGGTAAGCTAGAGCTCGTCTTGTTCGAACCGCTGCATAACCAGGACATTTGATGGTGAGGATGAGGATGCCAGCGCGCAGGACCGCGATGATGTTGAAGCATTTTGAATGCGGTGGCGTGCGGCTGCTGCTGGTGGTGATCGTGATATGTCGGGAAGCTGATTGTCGCGATGCAGACTGCTGTTCTTCTTGGCAATAGTGGAGGCACGAAGGAGGAAAGCACTAGCGTGACCCGCACCTTCCGGTCTCCGCTCAAGACCAAAAGCCCCATAGAGGAATTAACCCTTCGCGCCGAAAAGTGTACCCAGGCGAAAACATCCTTCGTGCCGTAACCTCTGACCGCTCTAGGATGTAGAACTCTGCCCCATTATGATACGTCCTGTTGAGACCCAGGTGCTAGCGACAACAGGCCATATCAAGACCAAGTTGATTATCCGGAGTTCCGGGATGCGATCATGTGCCTTGGAACGTCTTACTTTGGGAGGGTCAATCCATTGGCTGAGCTTCGCCATAGCCAGGCTCAGTTGCAGAGCAGACCTATAGTTTCCAAAACCCCCCAGCCCCATAACATGAGATTCTCCTGAATCCCTAAGCACAGTCACCGTTTTTCCAGTTCATCTAACCTCAAGGAATCATGTGTTCAGGCCAGCAGGGCTTCCTAACGATGCTTGAATCAATCAAGGACCAGGACGAAAGACGATGAATACCCTAATTACAACAAGAGTGCTCTCAGTTTTGAGCAACGAAAAACATAGTCATCAGTCTGCACGACAAGATAGCATAGCGTTTCTGGGTTCGGGGTCCGCGCAATCAAAGGAAAGATCCACTTTAATCTTTGGAACTAACAAGGCCAGATCAAGCCTCACAAAAAGGTTACGCAGCCTTACCCAAACTCCTAAACCCTAAGCCCCTTATCCTCAAGGACTTAACGCCCTAGTAACGCAAGGAGCGAGCCTCCTTTGGTGCAGTGGCTGAAAAACGCCGTGATCCGCCAACTGAAGCGCCTTCGCCACTACTGTGGGCGTAGGGTTCAAACTGAAGTGTCTTCGCTATTTCTGGACAGGTTTATGGGGTTCAGAGCATCGCATCATTGGGGCCTGACTAATCAGAAGATGTTGTTCTGGTATATGATTGTATAACTTGATAGGGACTGTAATAAGGGTATGTCATTACAAGTTATTCCCAACCCTAGAGTGCCTCAGTAGATGGTTCGCTGGTTGTATGACAGCAGTTCAGGGTCTGTTAGTAGCTGCAGAAGGAGCTGTGCCTGTTTGTGTGCGCTTGCGCCGTTGCTGTGTTGTGGCATATGGGGAGACGTCCTTGGCTGAGTTAGCGACAGAAGCGAGTTTTCGGCAGCATCTCCGAGCCATCGTGCGGGGCAGTCTGTGCATACACTTTGTTGCCTGCAGCACGACAGCCTCTCGTGACACACCGGGTCCAGCAAGAACAGGGCAAGCGGATGCATACATTTATGTGGAGCGTGATGACCTTACAGCCCTACAGTTTACAAACCCTAACGACAACTGGTAGTGACTGCGGTCCTCAAGTAGTATCTGCGCTTGGGAGGATCTCAGTAGGAAAGCGGCCACCGTGCGTCGTCGGTTGTATCGCGCTCCTTTCCTGTAACTTGGCCTCTCCCCCGCAATTTGCTCGTTTCACTCTTCAGACCTCGAACCACATGCGTCGCCTGCATCGTGCGAGTGTGAGCGCCGACACCCAAAACACGTCGATTCATGCTCGCAGTTATGCAACTGTACCCATAGGCCCCATAGTATTTCCTTATTGGGATTACCTTATAGGATTTTATATATGAGCCCCAAAAAGGAACTACTTTAGGGCCTAAGGGTACGCTGTAGACTCGCAGACGGGGGACGCACACTGACCGAGGCGCGGCAACAACATGCAGGCAGTGCGGCAACGCAACGCTGAATACATCGGAGTCAAGGTGGCGATGGCCATACTGCTGCTTTGAAGCAAGGTGCAATAGAAACCTCCTAAGAATGCCTTAACTGCAGCTCGCTCTTTAAGTTCAACTCGACAAGGGGCCCCAACGTTCTGATACAGGTTCCCAGCCATCAGGCTATAGGACTTTCGCTGTTTCGCCCACTCGACGCGAAATTATGCAGGATCCATGATATTTATGGGATCCAGGATATTTAGGACTTTTGCATCCTCAACCCCAAGCCCATAAACTCCCACGCAGACCTGCAGGTTTATCATTGCTATCCTGAGCTACGTGGAGCCGCTGATGGAGGACGGCTCCCTGAAAGCCTCTATAAGCTTTTAAAGCGGCTCAAAGGGCCTTTAAAATAGGCAAGCGACTCTTAAACCCCTATAATTAAACCCTATAAACTTCTAGACCTTGAAAGCCTGAGCCCCGTAAAATGCAACCCGAAGACCAGCTCTTCGAGGCTTTACCTCGGGTTTTGGATGGTTTTGGAACGATAGCTTCGCGTCTCGAGGGTGGTGGTGCTCCCCTGTTGGGGATGTCTGGTGCTGCAGCTGTTAAAGAGCTCTTCGGTTGAGAGATTGCTGGCCTCATGAACCCTACACCTTGATAGTACCGAAGACTGAGACCGCTAAGGCCCAATAGCGGCTAAACTTAACCGAAAGCCTTGTTGACCGCAGTAAGAACCCTGCGGTCTCTTGGGGTTCAGGGTTCCTGATTGTCGCGGGACGCCCGAAACAGCCCTAAAAAACCGAGGGGCCCTTTCAAACCTGAACCCCCAAAGGGCTTTCGGCAGGACACCTCCCTCAACTATGGCTTCATTTCGATGAACTCCTTCGTTGGCCTCACTACCGGCCTCTCGAAATGAGTTGGAAGGTCTTGGGTTCTTCATGAGCCCCCCTGCTTCTCCCATCAATCCGGTCAGCACTCTTATTGCTATTGTCATGATTATTGCTGTCGTTATTGTTCTTGTCATTTTCAGCGTTCTTATTCTTAGTTCCAGTTTGATTACGCAGCATCAGCAGGAGTACGCTTGTTGTCGCACACTATTGCGCTATCGCTCGACAGAATCAGACCCCAAAATCTTGGTTTTCAAGGACCTTGAAGGCAGCCGTTGCTCCACCCATCCCAGAAGTACGGAAAAAGATAACATGGGTGCACTGGGTGCCTAAAGAATTGCCAATATAGTATTGGCGAGGGTTCCAAGAGCTTTTCCAAGTGTACGATGATATACCCCAAACCAGTTTTGAACATTAAGGCCCCGAAGTCCTGCTTTGTATTAGTCTTTGCGGGCCTGTGCGCCGACCACACCAGCTGTACCACCAACGCATGCAACATGATTTCCTGAACGGGGCCCGGGTCTTGTAGAGAGGACCGCACATGACATGCATCTCGCACAGGCATGGGGTATGCAGCCTCAATCCAACAGCCCAAAGTGTATGGTGTAGGACCTCAGTCAACTCAGTCAACATGACCGAGGATCCACCAGAGCCCCTTAACCCTAAGCCCTAAGTAAGCCACAAACGAAGACAACGCGAAATCCTCCTGGTTGTCTTCAGGCAGCCCTGCCGTAAACACGACCATACCGGACGTCATTCGCAGGCCTGCTGCACAGGACTTTGAAGGTGCTGGTACAGGCAAAGGACCTCAGGATTAGGAAGGACAGATGCAGATGCCACTCTGAGCTGAATTGAAACTAAACTTGACACTGACTGACTGAGCGTAGCTAATAAACTAACCATCTAGAGCTCTCTCTGTCTCCCCAATCACACATGCCTACACCCACACCCACACGGCCCACACGCCCACGCCCACGGGCTGGAGAAGCTCAAACTGCCCCATTTGATCTGGAGGTTTGTTGTCACAAAAACATAATGGTATTAGGAGATGGCCGAAGGCTGCGATTCCTGCTCCGCCGAATGACCCGAGCTGCACAATTAATAGTGCTCTGAACCCATTCACAAATCTGAAGCTCCAACCCTTCAGAAGCCCAGAGAGACCCCGGCAGGCAAGTGGACACCTGGACGCTTCATGAAGGGTGGGCGCGTCCAGAGCGGCCTCTTCTGTATTTGGATCTGCAGAGGACGCTCGGGCTTCATTCTTCGATCAGACGAAGATGTTGAGAGTTTGCAAGATGCGGTGCGACGAGGAAAGTCTACTGCAACTCCTTGGTGGGTTCAAACGAACGGCGCTGTGATACGCCGTTCAGCGAAGCCCTCGTGTGGGGACCGAGACTTGGCCCTGGAGCATCATGACTTGGCTCATAGAGTTTTTGGCTTGGGAGCACGCAGCCGTATACACAAGATACCGCGGATCCCAAACCTTTTCCCGACATGTTTGCCCATTCATGTTGCTTGTATAGAGGCTCACATACACGGGGATGTCGATTTCAAGGTTACACAAAGTCGTGTGTGCGTGTGTGGTGGCAAGGACGAAGAGGCTTGACGAGGTGGACGTCGATGTCTTATCTTCGGAATACCGACAGATGGATCTGCTCCTTGGCGATTTGTTTGGTTTTCATGGCCTCTGTACACAGTGTGGCCACCAGTACCCGTCGGGATCTGCTGCCTGTGATCCATCACGCTTTTATTGCTCTGCCTCCCTGGTTCAAGCCGACAACCAAGGCTGTTGATGCGATATCCAGACTTTGACAACCAGGAGCTTGGACTAGCCTTTACTAGAACAGTTGCAGTGTTCCGATACATAAACCCCGAAAGCGGCCCCCCGCGTCCGCGTTGACAGCGGCAAGGATATCACCGCCGAAGACCTCGAGGAGAGGACAGAAGCCGTAGCACTGTTTCTGAACCTAGGCTGAGAAAGTCGATGGCTTTTAGATGAGTGTGTCATACATACATATACATATATATATATATATACACACACACACACACATATATATATATATATATATAGGCTTTGAGTGAAGAGCATGGCAAACATTAGGGACCTCAGTTTCTGGTTTCATGTATAGCGACCCAGATTTCACAAGCTATTGGTATCTAAGTTTGGGAGACATGCTTGCACCTGAGAGGGAACAAGAGGCAAATAGCAAGTATAAGAACCCTTCTAAAATCCAAGAGGATCCTAGATTGGGCCCCACTTCCAAGGAATCGAGCGGACACCGTTGCCACAGCTCGAGATTCCATTATCACGACATGTCAGAGCCTTAGAAGGGACCCATTATGGCTATGGCTTTGCAAGCTTCGGATTTGTGTTGGAGGCTTGCTCTCAGGTGCTCCTGATCCCGCACAGAGATGCCGAAACGCAAAAACATCCTGACCACCAAAGATAGCCCCCCTAACCTACATCCACCTCGATGCTTCCTGATTGGTTTTGAGCCTTGCCAGGGGTGGTCCTTTTCCTCATCGTCATCGGCATCAGCCTCCTCACGCGGGATCTTACGCACCTCAGATTTCCAGTTTCCGCCGGACTGAGTGGCAAGTATCCAGCTCTGGTCATGCATAGCTCGAAGTGCGAGGTCCTGCTACTTTTTGCGCACGAACCCTAAACCCTTAAACCCCAACCCTAAGCCCTTGACCCGACGCAAACCCCTACATTGCTAAATCCTAGGATGCAATGCCGACAGGCTTAAGGGACTCGTCTATATACTTTGGTCAGAACCTAAGATTTCGTAATGTTGGGGGCTGCAGGCAAGGTAGGGTTTACCGAGTTCGACAGGCGCCGGGCAGCAGCTTCGATTTCCCTGTGGATACACCCAGTACCCAACGCTTTTTCAAGCAGATTGTCCAAATTGGAGCCCTGTCTTCCGCGTAGACCCTAGACCCTACACCCTGAACCCTAGACCCTAAAACCCTGAACTTTTTGAGCACAGGTACTTGTCCAAGAACCTCTTAAAGCCACTCGTGGAGCTGGCCGATGAAGTGGCCCCCCTGCTTCCAAGTTCTCCTGCTGAGGTCTACATCTCGTGTTCCAGGGTTTCGGGTTTAGGGTGGAGAGTCGGGGTTCAAGAAACCCATAGGCCCTAAAGTAGTTCCTTTTTGGGGCTCATATATAAAATCCTGTAAGGTAATCTCAAAAAGGAACTACTATGGGGCCTATGGAAAGGGTAGAAGTTTTCGGGAATCTATGTATTTGGGACTGTAGGACTTGGGATCAGAACCGTTTGGAATCTCGGCCAGTATCGCTGAGCCTCAGAGTTTCGGCGGACTATAGGGGCCTCAAGAATTATATTAAGGGTTTAGGGTTTAGGGTTTAGGGTTTAGGGCTCAATAATTATATTAATATTATGTTGGGGGGTTAAGTATAGTATAGTATAGTCCCCAAAACCCTATTCTAATTGTTATGGCCCCCAGCTGCGAGTCGGTGTTAGGATCTGTCGCCATGATTCATAGGGTTTACAGTTTGGGGTTTACGATTTAGGGTGATCAGGATTGTGGTTCAAGAAGGGCAACAGATCCAATGGGCTATCTCCGCAAGTGTGATGCAAGCCCGTCCATGTCGGAAACTCGTTTCCGCAAAGGCCTGAAACAGAGACATAGATACACACGTGTATATATATATATATAGATGGGTGTATGTATATAGATCTAGATACTTATATGTGTAAATATGGGTGTGTGTGTATATATGCATGCATATATATATATATATATATATATATATATCAGTGTATACATACGCACACAAGCGCGCACACATATACATAGATAGATACATAGATAGATAGATAGATAGATAGATAGATATATGCACACACATACACGCACATACACACATAGCTTCGGCGCATCTGAAGCTCTCATTGCTCCTGCACTCCTTCTCTCATGTATTGCTGGTCCCATCGCCCCAAAAGCCCTAGGCCATGAAGCTGAAAAGGCATAGTTCGAGCAAGATCCGACGCTCCAAGCACTCCGAGGAAAGCATCACTCGGCTGCAACTTGCTGCGACCAATTCAGCCACTACGCATAGCCTGGAGGAGACCCCTCTCATTTTGGCCCAATTCTGACATTGCTGCGTGTTTATTGGTGTAAAGAGTTTCGGTGTATTCAGGCGGTTGCACAAGCCCTGATGAAAAAAAGGAGTTTCGGTATAGTACGTTTGGCCTCTGTGTAGAGACTGCAAAGGCAGTCAGAGAAGCGGCCATCGCTTTTGGAGAGGCAAACAGGACCACAACCTGAAAGCCCTACATGTGACTATGCCAGTTAAGGTTTGCTGTTGCTGACATGTCATAGTACCATAATCTTTCAAACCCACATGGCTTCCTGCTTAAAGTTGCGACACTATATGGCAGATGTGTGCAGGAGGCCCAAAACGTCTCCAGCGAGATCAGGCCGTGGGATTGGTCTGCTGAGTTTGCGGCGTGCACATGAGAGAGGCTTTGCTAGGCCGCTGAACGAAACTACTGAAAACTGGGTGAGGCGGGTGCGTGGAGTTCTTCCGTCGTGTAGCTGCTTGGGGCTGATGTAGATTCCACTAGCTCCCCCAGGTCATGCACAGAACATCTTGTACGCACTGAGGGGACAGCAACTACTTGTTTCTTGCAATGACCGATTCGCGTGAGTACTCGTCGCTGGCATCATGGGCATGGGAAGTTGCAACCATTCGTGAGTATGTGGATCATGACTACGGCAGATCCTCGCCAGGCACCACCATCATGACAATCAGCAGTAGGCTTTTCGTGGTCGTCGGTTATCGAAGCCATACATGCTAACCTCGACCCTATGCACCCCTAGAGAGTCGTAAAGCCACACGCCGATTCATGGACTGCCAGGTTGCTCCGCCGACGGTTCGACAGCATGAAGACGGCCATCCGCTCCTGGGGCAAGTACGTTCCCTGGCCCCTTGGATGGCACCTCACATGGGAGTTTCCGAGCATAAGTGATACCTTAAACAGGTCCTTATATAATA